GCCATTAACAAGAACTGACGCTGTTCCTTTGGAATACATTGCTTTAATCCAAGTGCGAAAGAAGCTCCCAAACCCCATGTTCACTAATGTAGTATTAACAAAAGCCCAGCCTACTTTATCGTAGGCTTTTTCCATGTCTAACATGAGGATGGCTAGCTCCCTTTTTTCTTTGCCCATTATTTCCAAAGGCGCGCCGTATGGCTAACATGAGGATGGCTTTTTCCATGTCTAACATGAGGATGGCTAGCTCCCTTTGTTCATTGAGTGTTGTACCTCCCCATTCATCCCAAGCATTGGAGGATCCCATTACTCTGGAGGAAGTGACCCTTGCAGCGCACCGTATGGCCAAAGGCAAATGCCCAGGGCCAGACGGTTTGCCCATTGAGTTTTTCCTCGTGACATGGGGGGCTTTTGGTCAGTTTTTCTGTGATATCTATAACGAAACCAGATTGTCAGGGACCCTGCCTAAAGGAATGGTTGAAGGCATGATTTCACTAATGTATAAGAAGGGGGACAAGCGGGAAATACGGAATTGGCGCCCTATTTCTGTCCTAAATGTATCCTATAAGTTGCTGGCTAAAATTCTGGCACTTCGCTTGGGTCCCTTACTCCCGAATTTGGTAGGAATTGAACAAGGGGCCTTTATCAAAGGACGCTCAATTTTTGAGAATATCCTTTCTACAATCCAAGCGCTGGAAATAATGAGCAGGCCCGTTTTCACAAGACTTCTGGTGAGCTTTGAGGAGAGTAGGGCCACCACAGGCGGGAGGATCGTTCAAAGTTCGAAAAGTCTTTCGAGGCCGCGTTCACTGACGCCTTTTGAAAGTTCTCCACTGCCGGATGGCTCGAAAGGCTGTGTGGCGATGACGGGGTGTTAATTTTACCACTTTCCGAAGGCTGTGCGGCGAGCCCCTATACAGGGGACGCCTGCACGCCCATCGCCTATTTATTGTCCTCACTTGCTTTTCTCCCCCGCCCCCCGCCTGCACGCCCATCGCCATATTTATTGTCCTTACTTGCTTTTCTCCCCCGCCCCCCCCCAAAAAAAATCGCTTGTCTTTAGCCGAGCGAGGCCCTATGCATGGCGAGTGTTACGCCCCGCGCCCCACGCCCCGGCGTGCGAGATGTCAACTCTTCAGACGGGGAACAGTCGCCATATCGTACCGCATGCACGAGCGTCGAGCGAGCGAGCGAGCGAGCGAGCGAGAGAGAGAGAGACAGAGAGATCTTTAAATTCACGAAAAGTTGGGAATATGAAGCGGCAGATCTGGGTGAGAGAGAGAAATAGAGAAAGATACGGGAGCACCAAGTGTAATGCCGTCAGCGGGGATTTAGATAGAGAACGGATACAGTAGCACTGAGTGTAATACGCTCAGCTGTTAAGTTTCACGCGACTTGTGGGGCCCGCAGTCCAGCGTGTACATATCGCGGACTCCATCTTCAACTTGTGTTTGCTTCAAAGCGCGCTCCTATACTGAGGTAAGCCATGCCGCACTGCAGTTATTCCAAATACAATCTCTGAGGATCCTCCACAGACATATGTTGGTTTCCGGGGATTGTGTCCATCACACATTTCAATAAATTGATCTGTCAGTGCTTTCCCTCTGTGTGTGTGTGTGTGTGTGTGTGTGTGTGTGTGGGTGCGTGCGTGTGCGTGCGTGGGTCGTTGTGTGTGAGCCTGTGTGTATAGCACACTTACACACACACATACACACACACACACACACACAGAGAGAGAGAGAGAGAGAGAGAGAGAGAGAGAGAGAGAGAGAGAGAGAGAGAGACCGTAGAAATCTCGGCGTTCTGGTCCATTGGTGATTTCGTTTCTTACTGTTCTGCTGTGTTCGTGCTTGGCGATGTACCAGCGATCACCGTTTTACTGCCGGTTGGGCTCGGAGGGCTGCGCCGTTTCGGATTTTGCAAAGGTTCAGAACTTGACAGCTGGCAATGATGTGTGTGTGTGTGTGTGTGTGTGTGTGTGTGTGTGTGTGTGTGTGTGTGAGAGAGAGAGAGAGAGAGAGAGAGAGAGAGAGAGAGAGAGAGAGCTTGCGAGATCGTTTGACAATAGCTGTTGAGCAGATCGCGTATCATTCACTGACATCGGGAGCGCTGCGTTGCCTGTCTTGGTGTGACCATCTGTGTGGAGAAATTGCGGCATTGATTTTCTTAAAACAGTCGTCGCCTAGCAAGCTGTCAGTGAGGCTGAAGAGGTTGAGAAAAAATAAATTCAAAAATCCCATTCCTGTCATTTGGAGGATAAGGGGAGGAGAGAGGCGAGGAGCGGGGTGGGGTGGGGTGGGGTGGGGTGGGGTGGGGTGGCATTCAACTGGACGGGGGGGAAAAGGACTGCAAAAGGAAAATTGTTACAAGGGGTCGAAACAGCCCTCATTAAAGTAATCATTACTAATTACGGTAATTAGTTTTCTCTCCATCTCCCTCTTTTTCTTTTTCTTTTTCTTTTTCTTTCCTTTTCTTTAAAATTCTTCTTCTTCTTCTTCTTCTTTTTTGTCAGATTTGGCGTTTTTTTTTTTTCATGATATCCCCCGCCTCCTTTTTTTTTTTTTTTTTTTTGTTCTGCCCCTCTATTTTCAAAGATCAACGGATGAGGTTCCTCTTCGTTTTTTTTTTGTTTTTTTTGTTTTCCCAGCCGGATCTAATCGCGGCGTCTTGTTGAAGAAGAGCTAGTAGCAGTGCCAATGGATGGAGATGGTGGCTATGGTGTAAGGGAGCTGGCTATGGTGATGGGGATCTCGCGAAGGGTGCTGCATGGAAGTCAAGCGACCGAGCACGAGGATGTCGGGGTGGATGTTGGGTAGGTGTTCGTCTCTCACCTTTTTTTTTTTTGGGGGGGGTGTTGGGGGGGAGAAGAGAAGAAAGTCTCTCATCATCGCCTTTTTCACCAGCCGCCTTTCTTTGAATATTTTGACTCTTTTGTAACAAAATATGTTATCCCCTCGACCACCTCCATCTCCTAATCTTCTCACTCATCTCTTTTTTTTTTTTTTTTTTTTTTTTTTTTAATGAGATTCGTGTGGATCGCAGCGACAACAATTTTTATTTTATTTTTGAATGAGAACCGTTACTCAGCGTGTCGCTCAAAGTGCATATATTCCAAAAAAATAAAAAATAAAAATAAAGTGCACATACGAGACAACGCATGTGGTAGATAAGGTAGGATTGGTTCAATGTGTCGGGATATGAGCGGCAGTGTCGGGATCTTGTAGGTGGTTCCCCTCTGTCCTCCTCCTGTGGTACGCTTCTGGGCCCGTTTTCCCCAGCTTAGCCTCCTAGATATAAAATTAAGTGCCTTTTTTTTTTTTTTTTTTTTTTTTTTGTAAGCCACTGAGAATGGTAATTGGCTCCCCCCCCCCTCGGTCCCCTTCCACAATGATCCCAGATTAGGAAAGAGGGAAAACAGAACAGGGAGAGAGAGAGGATATCGCGGTTCGCTACAGTTTCCTTCACTTCTTCTTCTTCTTCTTCTTCTTCTTCTTCTTCTTCTTCTTCTTCTTTTTTTTTTTGTTTTTTTTTTTGTTTGATAATTACATGGATCGTTTTCGTAAATACACTGCAAGTTGTCCTCAAGCTTTGATTTTCGTCACAGGTACCTTGAGGGCAGTGGCTGGTGGTCCGCACCACCTCAGAGGGGTATCCGTTGTCCCACAGTCATTGATGCTTAACCACAGCCCGGGTTAAGGTGGATTATCACTTGCAGTGTAATCCGTCAGTTACTAGGGGATTCCGCAGCAGACTGTTTTTGAGGGTTCAGCCTCCTCCTGATGAGTCGGTACAGTAGGTGAAACTCCAACGGAACAGTTTGTCACAGCCCCTCGTTTGTTGTCCTCCTTTATAGGGGCGGTGCTTTTATGTGGAATCGTCATCCGGAATTGCCGTTTATACCGGTCCTCCGGGTTCTTTTTGGTATCCTCCTAGTTGGTTGCTTCCCGTTGTTCGGCCTATCAATGGCGGCGGTGCTTTTATGTGGGAGTCATCATCTAAGATTGCTTTTTATGATGTCCCGGTACGAATTGCTTCGATGAGCCGAATAAGAATACCAACGTAAAAAAAAAAAAGAAAAAAAAAAAGAGGAATTCCAACGTCGAACAAGGCCATCTGCTGTGTGTATGAACAAGCCTTAGGCCATCTGCTGTGTATAGAGATGTGTATCTGGGACCTTTTTTTGATTTCTTTGCAGACAAGAATGTTTTGACATCCTGGTTGGTCTTGTCCCGTCGTTTGGCCTCTGTGTAGGACTGGGGCGGTGCTTGCATGTGGGACTTGTCATCTGGGATCTGTTTTGTTGCCCCCTGTTCTGTATTATTTGGCGGTTCCCTTCCTCTCTTCTTTGCCTGTTTGCCTTTTGGCTGTGTGCAAGTGGGTCGATATGACACACGGGGGTGGGGGCAGCCGCCACTCAACCTACATCCACGTGGGCGGTCTTGTTCGCAAGAGGTTCTGAACAGGGGGAGTTATAAGGAAGAAGATAAAAAACTGAATTCATTTTTTTTGTTTTTTTTTCTTTTTTCCTTTTTGTTCTTTTTGTTGGCATTTGCGCTCTGATACTCTTGTGACAATATATATCGTCACATGAAGAGCGCAAAAGCGAAAAAAAACAAAAGAAACCAAAAAAGATATCAATTCGTTTTTTTTTTAATCTTCTTCCTTACAACTCCCCCTGTTCAGAACCTCTTGCGTACAAGGCCGCCCACGTGGATGTAGGTTGAGCGGCGGGTGCCCCCACCCCCGTGTGTCATATCGACCCACTTGCACAC